GGAGATGCTACATAGAAAACCTGCAAAGACTTCTGGATCGTTGTGGATCTATATTCATCGATATTCATCAAGCGCAAAAGACATTGCAAGCAGGACTTCTGCAGCTTGCCATGCTTTCTTCTGACACGAAGCAAACTCAATATGAAAATGAATTGACTATCTATCTTCAACCGTCAATATTCTTTAATTACTACTCACTTCCTATGTGCGAACTTACTTGCTGTTTGTAACTCCTTCCAGTCCAACATGTCCAGCATGTGCCTGACGCTGCTTCGAAAGAATGAGCAGATCCTGACTTGAGGAACTTTCCCGGATCCTGGGATCTGCTGACATCTGCTGACATCTGCTGATTACCTGGAATTTTGCCTTGATGCATGCAAAAAACGCAGGTATTTACGTGTTTTTCAAAAAATCGAAGAAGTGTGGTGTGAGCAAAACCCTGTAAATAACAGTGTTTTATCCACTTCCAAGGACAAAAACTGCGGTATTTACCCGGGTTCTTGCCATCTGACAGCGCAAAATGTTGTAAATTACGGCGCTTTGTGCGCTGTTTATGTTCAATTTCTAAACGAGCGATGCTTTCACATGTTCTTGGCATTCTTCAACTAGAAACTACGTTACAGATTGAAACTAGACGACAGTGTGGCCCGAAACAAAGCTGTAGGGAGGGGACGAGAAGATAGCACACAAGACAATATGATGATGAATGCTGCTGGTGAGGAATTTTTACACAGATGCGTTTACACACAGAAACTTTTACGCACAGAAGCTTTTACACACACAGGGGCTTTTAGACAGAGAAACCTTTACACAGAGCGGCTCTTAGACACAGAAGTTTTTACACACAGGGGTTTTTACACAGAGAAGTCTTTATACAGACGGGTTTTACACGCAGAAACTTTTAGACAGAGAGAAGTCTTTACACAGAGGAGTTTTGACGCACAGAAACTTTTACACTGAGAAGTCTTTATACTAAGGAGATTTTGCACACAAACACGTTTACACAGAGGAGCTTTTACACACAGATTTTTTAGCACAAGGACGTCTTTACACAGAGAAACTTTTACACCCAGAAACTTTTTCAGACAGATTTTTTTACACAGAGAAACCTTTACACAGAGGATTTTTTACACACAAAGGCGCGTTTACTCACAGAAGCTGTTACACACAGACGCTGTTGCGCAAAGAAGTCTTTACACAGAGAGCTTTAACACACAGGCGCGTTTGCACGCAGAAACTTTCCCACAGAGAAGTCTTTACACACAGGGCTTTTACACAATGAAGCTTTCACACACAGAAGTTTTTACACAGAGAAACCTTTACCTAGAGAAGTTTTTACACACAGGCGTGTTTACACACAGCAGTTTTTACACAGAGAAATCTTTACACAGAGAAGCTTTCACTCGCAGAAGCTTTGACACACAAAAGATTTTGCACAGAGAAGTCTTTACACAGAGAAGCTTTTACACAGAGAAGTTTTTACACGCAGAAGCTTTTACACACAGAAGCTTTTACACAGAGAAGTCTTTACGCAGAGGCGCTTTTTCAGGAAGTGGAAAGGTGAAATTGGCAGCAATTCTTTAGGAAAAACTCTTCGCAGGAGCTTTCGGGAACAAGCCTTCCCCACTTGCTCCCATGATTCCATGAACAGGATCAAAAAAGCATAAGGAATATATTTCTGAAGCAGCAGGTCCTCATTCAATAGCTTTCGAGCCGATGACATCGAGGGTCAAGCTATTGAAAGTATAGGTCCTCTTTGCCAGCCTTTCAACGCTTAAAACGCTTAAAAATCCTCTTGGCACACCCAGACCCGCAGGCACAAGCTACCCCAAGGCCACATCAATGGCTTCTTATGGGCGTTCAAGCCTGCCGTTTGCCAGGCGTTAAACTCTGAAAACGCTTAAAAATCTTCTTGGCACGCCCAACCCCGCAGGCGACAGGCACCTCAAGGCAAGATCAATGGCTTCTTATGGGCGTTCAAGCCTGCCGTTTGCCAGCCTTCAAACGCTTCAAACGCTTAAAAAGCCTCTTGGCACGCCCAAACCCGCAGGCACAAGCTACCCCAAGGCCACATCAATGGCTTCTTATGGGCGTTCAAGCCTGCCGTTTGCCAGGCGTTAAACCCTTAAAACCCTTAAAACGCTCAAAAATCTTCTTGGCACGCCCAACCCCGCAGGCAACAGGCACCCCAAGGCCAGATCAATGGCTTCTTATGGGCGTTCAAGCCTGCAGTTTGCCAGCCTTTCGACGCTCAAAACGCTTACAAATCGTCTTGCCACGCCCAAGCCCGCAGGCACAAGCTACCCCAAGGCCACATCAATGGCTTCTTATGGGCGTTCAAGCCTGCCGTTTGCCAGGCATTAAACCCTTAAAACCCTTAAAGCGCTTAAACATCTTCTTGGCATGCCCAACCCGGCAGGCAACAGGCACCCCAAGGCCAGATCAATGGCTTCTGATGAGCGTTCAAGCCTGCCGTCTGCCAGCCTTAAAACCCTTAAAACGCTTAAAAATCTTCTTGGCACGCCCAACCCCGCAGGCAACAGGCACCCCAAGGCCAGATCAATGGCTTCTTATGGGCGTTCAAGCCTGCAGTTTGCCAGGCAACAGGCACCCCAAGGCCAGATCAATGGCTTCTTATGGGCGTTCAAGCCTGCCGTTTGCCAGGCGTTAAACCCTTAAAACCCTTAAAACGCTTAAAAATCTTCTTGGCACGCCCAACCCCGCAGGCAACAGGCACCCCAAGGCCAGATCAATGGCTTCTTATGGGCGTTCAAGCCTGCCGTTTGCCAGCCTTTAAACGCTTCAAACGCTTGAAAAGCATCTTGGAACGCCCAACCGCGCAGGCAAAAGCTACCTCAAGGCCACATCAATGGCTTCTTATGGGCGTTCAAGCCTGCCGTTTGCCAGGCGTCAAACGCTTAAAACGCAATCGTGCAAGATTTGCTGGACATACTCTGTGTTAACTTTTCAGATATGACATACCTGGAAATACGGTCAATATCTTTGATGAAGTTGAGCACTTTGGAATGAATATTCCAGCCTGCATCTACGATCAATCATCCCTTCCATTAGCAAAGCAACTTTCCGACTGTGGCTGCAGCGGCGGTGTGCGGACATTGAACTTAGTGTGCACGTGAAGCCAGTCAATGATCGGGGTGGTTGAATCATCGAACAATGTTTAAAGTGTAGCCACTGGACTGGCTAAGCATAAGGAAAATTCCGGGATTAGAATGATAGTACGTCATAGTACGTCAGTATAGATAAGCTACAATCATGTCAACCGAAATCCGTTGCGCAGCACTTGCCCCCCTCCCCTCGAAGGGGGATCGGCGGCACCCGGGCGCTAGCCCATTCTATAATCTATTTAGGATCCTTTACCCTCAAGTGGGCCCCTGGCCGGCTGTCGGGCGTAAGCCCTTAAATAAGCTGTGTTGCAAGAACAACAAGAACAACAACAACAAGAACAACAAGACGAAGAACAAGCACAAACATGCGACAAAAAGATGTGTGGTATGACAAGAACAAGAACATGCTACAGAATGGATAAGCCCGCAAAGCAGCTTTGATGGCAGCAAATTTGAACAACCAGCTTTCAACTCACCACACCCACAGATGCGCCTAGCAACAGTATCCGCGGGAGTTCACTGAAAACGGCTTTTCAGTGTTCCAGGCTGCGGCATAGTCCTGTCATAGTCGCAACGATCAAAGCACCTCACATACCTAGATCTTTGTATACAACAATGATGGAAGTCAAAGCTATCCCCCACCCTCTCAACATAATTAACAGAAGATATAATCAACCGTTGCCACATCATTTTTGAAGAAACGCACATCATCCCTATTCAGCGGCACAAACAATCATGTGAACCATTGCGACCGTTGCCTAAATGAACACTTCCACGCTCGAATTCATGGCTGTTGCAAGTGGCGTTGGGCAAGAAATGCTAAATCAAGATCGGTTCTAGATTAAAACCACGCCTTTCAGATTGATGCTTCTGCACTAAAGACATGGAGTGGTTGAACCCGACATCGGTCACAAAAAAAATTGTTGCCTTCCTCCATGATTCCACTGCATGGGACCTACAGTGACATGACATGATCGTTGCCGTCAAGCTGAGCATTCCCAGCCCGAGAGCCGGTGAACAGGACTTGATTTCGTATGTGCACTGGTCATCAGACTTCAGGTCTATGGTCCCATTCTGCTAGCCACACTGCATCAAAAGTAACCGTTGTGGGAAGCCATGCCAGAACTGGTACCACATTCAAACATGAATCTGCTGTCGGGGCCAACAGCATCGAAGTCATGGGATGTGCAACGCTGGCAGTGGCAACAGCGCATGGCATCTGAATACGCTCGAATGTCGAATGTCGGGCTTTTCCGCGTGACACATGGCACCGAGCTCAATTTACTCAGGTGGAAGCTTTGAAGGCACGGGACACCGTCAGTGGCCAGCCTTCCAAGCAATTTGACAGGACGACACTGATGATCTTATCACTGCACATTGCGCCTCGAAATGACAGGTGATCTGCTTTTTCCTGAGCTGAAATCAACAAAGCCCAAAAAAATCAAAAACTGGATTTCCTGTTGCTCAGCTTAAGTTGGGCATATTTGGATATATTTGCGCGCTAGTGCGCACACAATCAAACCAACTCAGGGCTCAACTTGAGCTCGGCTGCGATTCCGCCGTAGTCTTCCACGCCGTTCACCTGGGATTCGACATACAGTGACAATCTCCATGGCGTATTCCCACCTACAAGAAGCATTTTTCCCAACATCTCTCTATCTCTCCCAACACGACTCAGCATTCAACATGGATCTTCCCTGATTCGCATGGCTGTTTGAATGCACATTTTGGGCTTAGCTTTGGATTTGGTGTAGCATCTTGTAGCATCTTGTAGCATCTTGTAGCATCTTGTGTAGCTGTTGTAGCCGTGCTCAAATCGCGGCCGAGGCACCTTCACCAAGCGGTATCCTTTGCGAACCGCTCGGCCCGGAAAGCGGCGATTCCAATCTTCAGCGAGTGAGTTTGGAGCGACCTGGGAAATGCAGGCCATGCAGAAATGAACTGGGCTCTGGACGACACTTTTCGGAAAAATCTGGGCTCTGGACGGCACTGATCACCCGTTGCTGCTGTCGGTCCATGGCCTGGAGATGACATCAAAATACATCAAATGTCACTGCACCGTTGCAGAGTCCCAGAGTCTCATGTGCTGCAGGTCTCAACTTTGCAGATAGAAACAGCTTCAGCTTGACCAATCGTATACCAATCGTTAATGATCCGTTAATGTGTTGTTCCAAGACTTGCTTTCACAAGCAACTCACATCACCTTCAGCCTTTGAAAAGTTCGAATGACTGCGTGCCTCGCGATCCCATTGGAAGCCCCACTTCTCGGAGACAGCACCACGCTCGAGGTCTACAATGCACTCACCTGAGTACAAACATGGCATCGGCTGCATCGGCGGCATCGGCGGCACATCTACACGTCTCTCCGGGCTTCAACTTCTTTCAGCATCTTCAAATGCATCAACTCTAAGGGACTGGCGCTCTGTGCGCTCTGTCTCGACCTGCAAACATTCGAGCCGGGTTTGCCATGACTTTCATCATGACTTTCATCATGCTTGGCGCTTCACAAAACCACCCCGAAGTTGTGAAGAGATGTGAGGAAGAAAATCCCGACGGCATCTCGTCATGCAGAAACTTGTCAAGTTACTCAGCGACTCCTGGCTCATTGACTGCCCTGCCATGCCCTGCCATGCCCTGCCTCCGGTTTCTGCAATGATGCAGCTTTTGCCCTGCGGGAATGATAATGATGTCTTCGAAAATCAGACACTTTCAACTCGAATGCTGACACTGCTGACATAGCCACAGTGCCAACAGTGCGCCCCAGCTGAGTTTGCCCCGTTGGCCCCGGCCCCCGGCCTCACTTCCTCGGGATGCACTTTGGTTGGGACATCCGCCTGGAAATGATGTGTATTGCTGTATTGTGCAAAAATTGTGTATGTCTGAGCACACTACCTGCCTTAGCAATGCATATCGATCAATATTTGTAGACATTGTAGACTATTCACCTCTCACTGTTTTGCCTGGCAATATTTGCTCTTACCAGTATGACTCCCTCAGGTCTGAAGTTTTCGCCTGGTCAACGACTTCAAGGCTTGGATGGTCCAATTCCTGACTCAGAACCAAGGCTCATCAGGCCCTTGAGGCGCAAGATGCAACCCAGCAAACGCTCAGCAAACGTATCAAACACGTATCAGACTCCAAAGCAATGATCAATGGTCAAAATGGTCAAAAGATGTCCAAAGTCACATCTGAGTATTTACTCACCTTGAAACTCCTGAATCCCTCCCAGGTTGGTCTGAGACGGAGACAGGTGGCCGTTCAGTGCCCACTGTCAAGCCTTTGATGTTTCAAACTGGATGCACTCAATATGTGCATCATGCGCAGCAGGATGCTTGCGGAAAAACAAACACTTATTAAACTTGCCTATTGCTTTCTTACACAGCGATTCTGCTTCCGCGATGTACCAAACAAGTCAACCTATAGGTGATGATTCAGCAATACAGTGTTTGGAATCACACAGAGCTTCCTGATACTTGCTGTCTACTTCATCCAAGGTGCAACTACTGCTCGATGTGACAGGCTGGGCGACATGACTGGCCTCAAAATTTTGAATGTCGGAATGTTATGCATGGCCCGCGATGTTTGAACATTTGGGTGCAAGAGATCCACGCACCAAATTGAGAGGCACCCTAACAATGGTATTTGAAGACTCTTTCAAGCTGCAGAGACAACGATGTAAAGGAACAAGTGTCAAATGGTCATCAGGACAATAATCTTGACAAGATGTATTGAAAGGACATGCAGCATTCTGCGGCTATTCAATGCCTGCACTGTTGACGCGCTTGGCGGCGTTTTATCCTGTCCATTCTGTCGACTGGCAACTCTAAATTTTCCCCACAACGCAATTGTTGAAACGCAATCGCACGTGGGCGTACAAGTATCCAGGACCACCAATTGCTCTCGCTTTGAAATGTCACTCAAATACTGAACATCACGGCTTTGCATTGCTGCCCAACCTCAAGTTCGGAACTGCTAGAAGAATCCGAGTCCTTGAAATTCGACATCAACGACGAAGGTGATGAAAGGACGAAGCTCCAAGCTTTGCATCGTATGGAATACTCGTCATTAACAATCGATTCATCAAATAACCCGATGTCCTCAAGAATCTGCACCGTCACCTTTGGCTGTTCCATGGTCGACTTGGGCGGCGCCTGAATCATGTCGAGCTCTCAGCTGCAACCCCAAAGGACACGTTCTCATCTCTTGATAAACTGCAAGTTCAGCTGGTCTCTGCTTTAGAAATGTAGGCCCTTATGTTTGGAGAACCATGAAAAAAAATCACAAGTCATCAAAATCCGAGGTTCTCAAAGCAAGAAATCTTACAGGCAAGCCAGGTTCAAGGTATAACTTCCGACCATCCGAGAAAGGCAATCACAGCCTTTGGCACTGATGGAGTCACTGCAGAGCTTGCTTCCGGCAGTGCTACCTTGCAAGCACCAGAGATGCGTAGTTCCAACATTGGACGAAGAACTGTGGCAGATTGTGGCAATTCTCGAGACCTCGAGATGTTAAACTTCTTGGATGCTCTTTGGATGCCGTTGTCCCCTCGTCCCTCATCAGCATATGAACACCCCGGTTCACCAGACCAAGAATTCCTGATTTTCTGGCCCATACTTAACATCTCTTGTTTTCCGCCTGAGGCTGCTCCATCGCTGACTTTGCAGGTGGCACCTGGATCCAAATTCAGATATGCAATTCTGACTTCAACACCTTTGCTTGCATATGCTTGCCTCAAACGCATCGTGGAATTATGTATGATTCATGATTTCTGGCTGTGCGGCTATGGCTAGGCTATGCCTCTTTCTGGTGCACTGCGACTGGACAAGTATTGGGAATGGAATGGACTTGACATGTCGAGACACCTCTTTGTGCTCATGATGGTAGTCTTACAACTGTCTGTTAACCACACACACACACACACTGCTCTAGATTTCTCGGCAGAAAATGCAGAAAGTCAAACCGTCCACTCAAATTTACATGTTCAAACTGCAGTTTTCAGCTAGAAAGTTCTCAGAAGATCCTGAAAACAAATATATAACCACCACATTGCAGCACCTTTGGCACAAATGGAGTCACTGCAGAGCTTGCTTCCGGCAGTGCTACCTTGCAAGCACCAGAGATGCGTAGTTCCAACATTGGACAAAGAAAACTGTGGCAGATTGTGGCAATAAACTCTCGAGACCTCGAGATGTTAAACTTCTTGGATGCTCTTTGGATGCCGTTGTCCCCTCGTCCCTCATCAGCATATGAACACCCCGGTTCACCAGACCAAGAATTCCTGATTTTCTGGCCCATACTTAACATCTCTTGTTTTCCGCCTGAGGCTGCTCCATCGCTGACTTTGCAGGTGGCACCTGGATCCAAATTCAGATGTGCAATTCTGACTTCAACACCTTTGCTTGCATATGACATATGCTTGCAACAAACGCATTGTGGAATTATGTATGATTCATGATTTCTGGCTGTGCAGCTATCCGTCAATCTGGCGCACTGCCACGGACAAGTATTGGGAATTGAATGGAATTGACATGTTGAGATACCTCTTGTTGCTCATGATGGTAGTCTTGCACCTGTCTGTGAACCACACACTGTTCTAGATTTTCCGAAAAAAATGCAAAAAGTACTCTCTCAAAATTACATGTTCAAACTGCAGTTTTCAGCTAGAAAGTTCCCAGAAGATCCTCAAAACAAGTAAGCACCACATTGCAGCAGCACCTTTGGCACAAATGGAGTCACTGCAGAGCTTGCTTCCGGCAGTGCTACCTTGCAAGCACCAGAGATGCGTAGTTCCAACATTGGACAAAGAAAACTGTGGCAGATTGTGCCAATAAACTCTCGAGACCTCGAGATGTTAAACTTCTTGGATGCTCTTTGGATGCCGTTGTCCCCTCGTCCCTCATCAGCATATGAACACCCCGGTTCACCAGACCAAGAATTCCTGATTTTCTGGCCCATACTCAACATCTCTTGTTTTCCGCCTGTGGCTGCTCCATCGCTGACTTTGCAGGTGGCACCTGGATCCAAATTCAGATATGCAATTCTGACTTCAACACCTTTGCTTGCATATGACATATGCTTGCAACAAACGCATTGTGGAAGCATTTATGATTTATGATTTCTGGCTGTGCGGCTATCCGTCAATCTGGCGCACTGCCACGGACAAGTATTGGGAATTGAATGGAATTGACATGTTGAGATACCTCTTGTTGCTCATGATGGTAGTCTTGCACCTGTCTGTGAACCACACACTGCTCTAGAATTCCCAGAAAAAATGGCAAAAAGTACCAAAAAGTCAAACCGTACACTCAAATTTACATGTTCAAACTGCAGTTTTCAGCTAGAAAGTTCTCAGAAGATCCTCAAAACAAGTAAGCACCACATTGCAGCAGCACCTTTGGCACAAATGGAGTCACTGCAGAGCTTGCTCCCGGCAGTGCTACCTTGCAAGCACCAGAGATGCGTAGTTCCAACATTGGACAAAGAAAACTGTGGCAGATTGTGGCAATAAACTCTCGAGACATCGAGATGTTAAACTTCTTGGATGCTCTTTGGATGCCGTTGTCCCCTCGTCCCTCATCAGCATATGAACACCCCGGTTCACCAGACCAAGAATTCCTGATTTTCTGGCCCATACTTAACATCTCTTGTTTTCCGCCTGAGGCTGCTCCATCGCTGACTTTGCAGGTGGCACCTGGATCCAAATTCAGATGTGCAACTCTGACTTCAACACCTTTGCTTGCATATGACATATGCTTGCAACGCATTGTGGAATTATTTATGATTCATGATTTCTGGCTGTGCGGCTATCCGTCAATCTGGCGCACTGCCACGGACAAGTATTGGGAATTGAATGGAATTGACATGTTGAGATACCTCTTGTTGCTCATGAGGGTAGCCTTGCAAGTCTGTGAACCACACATTGCTCAAACCGTACACTCAAATTTACATGTTCAAACTGCAGTTTTCAGCTAGAAAGTTCTCAGAAGATCCTCAAAACAAGTAAGCACCACATTGCAGCACCTTTGGCACAAATGGAGTCACTGCAGAGCTTGCTTCCGGCAGTGCTACCTTGCAAGCACCAGAGATGCGTAGTTCCAACATTGGACAAAGAAAACTGTGGCAGATTGTGCCAATAAACTCTCGAGACCTCGAGATGTTAAACTTCTTGGATGCTCTTTGGATGCCGTTGTCCCCTCGTCCCTCATCAGCATATGAACACCCCGGTTCACCAGACCAAGAATTCCTGATTTTCTGGCCCATACTTAACATCTCTTGTTTTCCGCCTGAGGCTGCTCCATCGCTGACTTTGCAGGTGGCACCTGGATCCAAATTCAGATATGCAACTCTGACTTCAACACCGTTGCTTGCATATGACATATGCTTGCAACAAACGCATTGTGGAAGCATTTATGATTCATGATTTCTGGCTGTGCGGCTATCCGTCAATCTGGCGCACTGCCACGGACAAGTATTGGGAATTGAATGGAATTGACATGTTGAGATACCTCTTGTTGCTCATGAGGGTAGCCTTGCAAGTCTGTGAACCACACACTGCTCTAGATTTCCCAGAAAAAAATATAAAAAGTAACAAAAAGTCAAACCGTACACTCAAATTTACATGTTCAAACTGCAGTTTTCAGCTAGAAAGTTCCCAGAAGATCCTCAAAACAAGTAAGCACCACATTGCAGCAGCACCTTTGGCACAAATGGAGTCCCTGCAGAGCTTGCTTCCGGCAGTGCTACCTTGCAAGCACCAGAGATGCGTAGTTCCAACATTGGACGAAGAACTGTGGCAGATTGTGGCAATAAACTCTCGAGACCTCGAGATGTTAAACTTCTTGGATGCTCTTTGGATGCCGTTGTCCCCTCGTCCCTCATCAGCATATGAACACCCCGGTTCACCAGACCAAGAATTCCTGATTTTCTGGCCCATACTCAACATCTCTTGTTTTCCGCCTGAGGCTGCTCCATCGCTGACTTTGCAGGTGGCACCTGGATCCAAATTCAGATATGCAATTCTGACTTCAACACCTTTGCTTGCATATGACACTTGAGAGCAGGCGGAGGCGGACGAAAGGTAGTGTAGTGGGAGAGGAGTGGTGTCAAAATGCTGCGCCCCTAAGATGATACACCAAAAACGTTTTTGCGCAGTCTAAGATGATTTTATCCAGAGCATGACTGCATGACACTGTGTCTTGTGCTGCGTGAAATGATGCACGAAAAGGGGTTTATTTAAAACCCCTTTTTAAGACCCCTTGCAGCAACTTTTATTGAGGCTGAAGCATACCAATTATGCTGGACTACAGGGACATCTCCCTCATGGAAAGTGTGCCTCTAATGTGGAGGCCCGTGACCGCGTCACCCGTGGGAATTGAACCCATGACCATTTTCGGGGGGGGGGGGCCAACTGGGGGGGTTAGGGGGGTTGCCCCCTACTTTTTTGGTTTGGGGGGGTTCGGGGCAGACGCGAAAAAGCGAAAAGTCGAAAAGTAGCTGTTGATTCTTAGGGGCGGAGCCCGAAAACCCGAAAAGTAGAAAAGTCGAAAAGTAGAAAAGACTTTTCTCGAAAAGTAGTCGAAAAGTAAGCACTTTTCTCGAAAAGTAGCTACTTTTCTCGAAAAGTAGCCACTTGTCTTTCCAAATTGTTTATCCACTGCGAAAACTGGAGAGCAGCTGCACTAGACTTTTGTTTCCTTGAACTGACGTTGCTGTCTAGGCCGAGTTTGCAGGACTTGTGGGTTCACATATATCCTTTTGTGTACCATTTGGTATCACCGCAGGATCTGTCCCTGCCTTGGCAGGGGCATACACGACATGTGATCCGGACTTCTTGATCCAAATTAGTCTAAATAATGGAACTTGACATCACCTATTTCAAGCATTCCACGCAGCTAGTCTTTGACATGAAGGTGATCCAACCATTTGGACAATTCGAGGCGTTTCAACGTATCCGACCGTTGGAACATACCGCAACCTTTGAAAGCAGCTGCATACTGAAGTTCTTGCAACCTTCAAAACCGATCCCCGACCATCACAACACGTTGAACTGTCCAAACTATCTTGACCTCTCCAACTACCCGGAACACTCCAATTGGTCAACGCACCATTCCAGTCATTCAACGGACTGATTGGTCATTACATTAGAACTGGAATAATCAAAGGAAGTTTAGAAGTCAAACTTCAGACAATATGGACAGATGGAAAAGCCAAGATGGGAAGAGCTACAGAAGAGAAAAGTGAGATAGGAGAAAAGTCAGAGGAGAGAAGGTCAATCTACAACTAAAACAACAACCAAATCACAACGACAACTACTACCAGACTACAACTACAACTACTACCAAAGTACATCTAGAATCACAACCGAAGAACAAGAACAAGAACAAGAACAAGAACAACAACAACAACAACTACTACTACTACCACTACTACTACTACTACCACCACAACTACTACAACTACTACAACAACAACAACAACTACTACTACTACCACAACTACTACTACTTCTACTCCTACTCCTACTCCTACTTCTACTCCTACTCCTACTACACCTACAACTTCAACTATGTGACAAAAACATACAAAAACTATAGCTACAACAACGACAACTACAACTAGAACTACAACTGCAACAACAACTATAGCTGCAACTGCAACCACAGCTACAACTACAACTACAACGACATTCCAACTACATCGCGCTGCCTCCAACCACTTGTCGGTTCATCAGTGTGTTCGCTCTGCCATCCACGATTCACAACAACTAACTTCTCCTATAGGTGTTCTATCTTTGAAACTTCCGCCACCGCCTTGTGCGGTAGGAATATAGGCCTGCATGATTTCCACGGTTTGATAGTGGATTTCCACAGTCACGTTTGCGGCGTGTTTCCGTAATCCGGGCGCGTAGGATAGGTCTTTGCCGAGGTCAAACATGTCGGCTGCGTGGCGCCCCATGTGGTGAACGCAAAGGCAAGACATGTGACACATATTCTGAAAACATGTCCGGCAATGTATCTGGCATTCTATCTGACATATATTGTGACTTCTGGGCCGCCCCCACGAACTTGGCGCTGATTCATGGTGCTGACCCCTGAGATATCAATGACATGGAGGCGCGCTCGGAGATTCCGATCCATCAGCTGGGTTCACTGGAGAAATTTTGCTCAGACATGCCTTGTATTACCCTAAGCATTTCTGGCAGAAGTCCGGATCACATAGCTGACCTGTTGCAAACGATTTCGGCAGCAAAAATGGAAACCGTGGGATCACGAGTCTCCACTAAAGGTGCGGAGAAATTCATAGACAATGCATCTCACATAACTTGGTTTGTATTTAAATATTTTAGGGGGACACACTTCCAGCTTGAAATTTTCTCGCACTGATGTGGGAGAACATCTCATGGAGATCATTGTCTTGCAAAAACGAAGCTGCACGCAATGGGCAAAACATGTGTTGTGAGCTATGTCTGTGAACATCCTTGTAAGCTGTTCCGTAGACAAACTTCTCGCCTAGAAACAGTTGTCTACTCATGAGGTGCTGGAGGACTGCAACGAGCTAGGAGCGAGACAAGAAACAAAAAAGTAGCCAAGCGCCAGCAACGAAGGCAAAGCAGGCCGGAAGAAGTCATGAAATTTCTAGGGTCTAGTTGCCGAACCAGATTGAGCAAATCTATGCACGCGATGGTTCATTTCCAAGGACCTTGAAATTGCTTCCTTTGCTCGAACCAGTTCTTCTCACAGCAAGATCAACCGTGTGCGTTCTCAAATCAGTTCGCACTCAGAAAATGTCGCGGCTTGCATATCCGCAGGAACAGCATGAAAGGCGTTGACCTGCAAACGCGCAAGCAAAAGTGAGTAGTGGAGGCAACTAACCCATCGCAAGAAAGATGCTTATTTAGGAAAACATAAACACAGAGTTCCTGAAGAGTGACTCAGCTGGCCCCACAAAAATTTGAGCTGCTCATCAACTACAGGGTCCTGGCCAAGTTGCAAGAGAATCCCTAGCTTACCAATTTCATTTAGCATTACCATGTAAGCGATGGGAGCTCTTTTCTGGCATCTACAATCATCTACATGAATCTGCCCTTTTATCAAGCATTGAATGTTCGTTTCATGTAATGGTGCCTCGCGCATATGCCACTTGCGGAAGCCGCGGCCAGGCAGCAAGCAAGGATTCCTGGCGTCACCGTGAACAGGCGTTTCTTGTAGCTGGAAGACTCTTAAGCATAGAGCCAAAAAACTGGAAATGAGCCCTGGAAGTTGAACTGATTCAGAAAAGTAATCTTTCTGCGTGCAAACTGTCTGACAATTTTCTGACACCATGCAAAAGATTGGTAAATTAGAATATATGCTCCTACATACACACTACGGGCGTGTTTACGCAGCAATATGGATGCCAAGATTCCAAGAAAACTGTGTAGAATCAGGTGTGAAAGCAGATTTGGAGCCCAGAACCTCCAATGCCACTGGCACCTGTCAGGACTTGCTGGTGGCGGAAAAAAACACACGTATTGGAAATCGAACGCCGAGGTTTGAAATAGCTGGCAAAGCAAAATGCGTTGTTTTCTTTTGCTTCTTGCTGTGGCCCCCCGTTGCTGGCAGCAATTCTTCGTTGCTGCTGCACCCCTTTGCCAATTGCAAGGTTTCGTTGGCCCCCTGTGATCAAGATTGGTCCCAAAGTTTGGAAGCAAAAGCTTGGCAGTTTACAAGTTTGGCAACGAGATATACTTGTCTTGGACTGCCTGAGGAACCTTCAGTTCTTCAGTCATCCATGCGTCCCCCTCTTTGGTGTACCGCAGGAGCAACGTCTTGTTGTCCTCAGATTTCGTGCCTGCCTTCTTTTCTTCATTCAATGTGAGCCAACAAGGCCGACCAACCCTTTTTGTCACCAAATTGAATCAACACCTCTGTCCCTCCAAACTGTGCCAAGTCGGCATCTCTCCTTCTTTTGCGACCGAACATGCACTGGCGAAAGTTGTACCAAGCTGTCTTCACATTAACAGCAATGGCCACCCCAGTTTCTTTGCTGGCTTTCCAAAGGTCGGTGTCACAGGGAGGGGTGTAGGAGGACAAGCCGGTGAAGAATCTTTTGGCAGCAAAGTCGAGATTACTAAGTGCCAGAATGTTGGCAGGTTTGGAGGCTTCTGTGCTTGCTGCGGCTGCCTTTGCTGACTGTGTGTGAATGGATTGTTCTAAGCCTAGCTGGTTGACACTGAAAAGTTCGCAGCGGGGGAGCGCGGCAAGCGCATCGTGCAAACGCACTGTGTTATCACACGGGATTTCTTCATTCAAGGCATACATCAGCAGCCCGTTCCGGATTGCCAGGTTTGACAAACAAATCGAACCAAACATACGTCCTGCATGTTTGGTGACTGTGCTGGCAGCTGCGCTGTTGCCTGTTGCTTCTAAGCAAGCAGCAGCAGATCCATCTTGTAAACCTGCAAGCACGCACCCTGCAGCCCCAGAAAAGCAGACCTCATCAATTGTCCTGTTTGTTTTCCCTGGGTGTTTCGGTGGTTGCTCGCTTTGTTTGCTTCGCAGGCGCAAGTTTGCAGGGTCTTGGGAAGTTGGCGCGTCCTGTGGCCGGGAAGTTGGTGCGGCTTCTGACCCGGGGGGGGTGCTTTTGTGCTGCAAGCGTAAGATCCAACGCAAACAGCCCGTGACAAGATCTTGTGACTGGGAGCGGGGGACAAGCTTCTCTTCGAAAGCTGTAGCTCGAACCTGGGAACTGTCCAAAGCAAGGACGGCGAAGCGCAAGCGCCCGCAGGACTCAGATTCTCCGAGCTCGCGAAGGTAAGTTCCCTTGGTGGAAGGAAGAAGAACCCAGACATTGGGTGGACAGGAAATGGTGTCAGATTGGGTGGCTTTGCCAAAGCTGTCAGACCCATCCAACAATTCTATGCAGTCTGCCTGCTGCAAGAAGTTGGGCTTCTTTTTGTTGATGAAATGTTCCAGCTCACTCTGAAGGAGCTGCGCCTGCCCATGGTTCTGCCGCAAGACTTTCAAGAGGCCGGAAACTGTCATGTTGCCTTGCGGCACAACATGTGTGGCTGTGCAATTTTCATCTGTCAGGTTCTTAAGCCAGCCACGAACCAGACCGCCTAGGTTGTCCTTGCCTGCGGCCGAATCGGCCAAAATAATGAGGCAGAGCTTACTTCCTGCTAGATTCCACTCGCTCTCAGATTCTTCCATTGCATGTACTTGCAATTTTCCATCTTGCCCTGAAAAGAGGAAGATGGCCTGTCCTTGCAAGCATGCATGGACCAAGTGGCCATCTTTTGGCAATCCTGTGCCCACAGACAACCTTTCACAAGCTGAAGCAAGCTCTGCAGGTGCGAGTGCCTTGAGAGCAGTCTCTCTTTGTGACTGGAGAGGGTTGAGAGTGGCATTATCCTTCAAGAAGCTTGCGTAGACCTCTTGGCAATGCTTGTGAAAAAATTCCTTCAAAGTCTGTGCTGGGGGTTTCTTGCGCAAGTCCCACTCCTGCTCGACAGCTTCGGTGTCATACACCGATCGAGCCCACTTTCTGAAGAATGCTTCTCTTCGCTCAACAGTGCAATTCTTTAGAAAGGCAGCAAGAGTGTCTGTGGTACCGGAAGGAACCTCAGGCAAAAGCTCTTTCACCTTGGCAAGCAACCTGTCCTTCGCACCAGCACCCGGATCAGCAGACCCCGTCACCCGCAGCCGCAAGGCAGCCCATTCCTCAGCCCCAGCCTCTTCAATGTCATCATACACTTGCTCCAACCGTGTTGGGGAGACTTGGCTTGGAGGTGGTGTTGGAGGGGTACCTTCTACCCGTTGAGTTGGTGGCGGGGAGTTGGCTTGGCTTGGGAGGGCTTCGCTTTGGAGGGCTTCGCTCTGGGGGACATCGCTCTGGGAGGCCATGTTTGCGTCGCGCGGATCTATCTGGTTGCAAAACTGTCAGCCACGATCTGGAATGGAGGCCGGCAAATTTCTCACAGCCAAACAAAATTTCAAATTTCTGTCTGCACAAATGAGGAGACCTGCCATGCCTCCTTCAAACATCTGCACACTATAGGTACTTGCAACGCGCATACTATATACTCTCTATCTCTACTATGGCCCACGCCATTGACCGGAAGCAGCGGCCTGCTGTAGTCTGTAGTCATGGCAGCTTGCAGCCGCAACGAAGCGCCCACTCCTGTCCAAAGTGTGCTCTCAAGCATGTCAGGCAAAAAGTTGATTCAGCAAGAGGTTGTCATGCCTGGATCTATGTTGGGTATGCAAGGCTGAGATCAGAGATCTGAGATTCGTAACTCATAAGTAATTGTCATACACCCTAAAAGAATTTGGAGGGCCATTTATTTAGGTTTTTTTTTTTAGTTTAGGGAATTTTTTTTGGATTTCTTCCTGCTTACTCTATTGCCTCCTGCAGTGCTTCTCTGCTTCTTTGCTTCTATTCCTTTTTTTGTTTTTTTTGCTTTTCTTTGCTTTTTTGCTTTTTTGCTTCCCTTGCTTTTCTTTGCTTTTTTGCTTTTTTGCTTTTCTCGCTTTTCTGCTTTTCTTTGCTTTTTTGCTTTTCTTGCTTTTCTTTGCTTTTTTGCTTTTTTTTTTTGCTTTCCTTGCTTTTCTTTGCTTTTTTGCTTTTCTCGCTTTTCTGCTTTTCTTTGCTTTTTTGCTTTTCTTGCTTTTCTTTGCTTTTTTGCTTTTTTGCTTTTCTTTGCTTTTTTGCTTTTCCATGAGGTGTGGAGCAACATCTTCTATCCATCTATATCCATCTATATCTATCTATATCTATCTATATCTACGTATCTATATCTATCTATGTCTATCTATATCTGTATCTATATCTACATCTATGGCTGTATCTATATATCTATATACCTATATATATATCATATATCTATATAATTATCTATATATCTATATATCTATATATATATATCTATATATATATCTCTATATATATATATATATCTATATATCTATATATATCTCTATATATCTCTATATATATATCTATATATTTCTATATATCTCTATATATATCTATATCTAGATATCTATATACATATATATCTATCTATCTATATATCTATCTACCTATCTACCTATCTATCTATCTAATTATCTATCTATCTATCTATCTATCTATACATATCTATCTATATATCTATATATCTATATCTCTCTCTATATATATACTATATATCTATATCTATATATATATATCTCTCTATATATCTATATCTCTCTCTCTCTATATATATATATTATATACCACCATATATCTATATATCTGTATATATCTATCTATATTTCTATATGTATATATACATATATCTTTATATCTATATATCATATATATCTATTTATCTATATATCTATATATATATATATCTGTATATATATATATATATCTACCTAAAAGGTTTGCATTATCATGCGGATGATATTCAAACCCCAAGCCAACCCTGAACCAAACCTTATATAAATAGATCTTAAACCAACTCGATGATAACATCAAATGAAACTATTGTGCATCGTTGTGCCTTAACCTACATTCCACATGTTTCCAAGGTGCATGTCGTGTAGTATATACACCTTGAGTATCACATTCAACCTAGCACCTTGCATGTGAAAATAGGTGTTTCCAATCTGCTTTGGGGGGGAGGCGCTGCGCCCTCCCCCCAAATCCCCCCCAATCCCCCCCTCCCGTTTTTTTTTATTTAAATTCAAGCTTGCACACATTTCAATACACTACTTTGGTTAGAATATATATATATACATTGTATATATATATATTGTATATATATATATTGTATATATATATATATTGTATATATATATATATATTGTATATATATATTGTATATATATATATAACAACACTAACAACACTAACAACACTAACACTAGCAACACTAACAACACTAACAACACTAACGGTAACAACAACAACAACACAACAACAACAACAACAACAACACCAACACCAACACCAACAACAGTAACAGTAACAACAAACAACTGTTGGAATGTCAGCCTTCAGCTCCAAAATCCTGCAAGTACTGTGAGGAATGTAGCTGTAAAATGTTGCACATACGGTGGAAATGCAGATTCCAGCTCAAAAATGCTGCAAAGAGCATGGAAAATGGACAGAACATGCTGCAAACTGTTGCAAATACCGTGGAAAATACAATGGAAAATGAGAGGTTCGAACTCAAAACCGTTGCACATACCGTGGAAATGGCAGTTTCCAGCTCCAAAATGCTGCAAATAGCATGGAAAATGGTGAGAACCGGAAATCCAAAAAAAAATCCCCAAACTAAAAAAAAAAAAATCCCCAAACAATTTCCTACCCACCCTAAAATGCAAGATCTACTTTGGTCACTGCAGGTATCAAATATTAATAAAAGACATGCTTTATTAAAACGCAATTTGAAAATTTTGAGGAGACACAAGTCTCGATGCAGGGCCCAAATTTCCTGGATGTAGCGTCCCGCACCTGCCCGTTTGCTGCAGAAAACTGACGCGCCTCTAGAGACGGCATTGCAGCAGGGCATCATAGACACTTCCAACCGCAGAGGAGTCGCTCACGACAGGGGCGACCTCTGCCATGTCTGCCAGCAATGATTGCAACACGTCCGGACCTTGAACAAAGATTGAAGCCAGGCGCTGTGAAGCGCTAAGCAGCCACATCCTGGCTGATGCATTGAGTCGAGCATGGACCACCATGCGGTCTTTGGACAAGCGTGTCTGCACTTCGGACACCCAACGAAAAATATTCAAAGTGTCCACTGTCTCCGGGGTAGCTGAAGACCGGGCCAGGTTACGCGCTCGGCGCTGCATGTTCCTCCAATGCCTCTCCGTTCCAATGGTACCGATGGAAACATGGAAGCCATTCTGAACTGCCCAAGATTTCGACCGGTAGGATGCAACGAGGCCGCACAGCACAGCCGGAGCACATTGTTGTTGAATTTTCTCATTGAATTTGTCCCCACCACTGGGTACATCCTGCATCAGCCTCGGAGCTGCATAGGTCTGAGCACCCCTCGGACGCTTGCGGATCCGCTTCAGATAATGGAGCTGTGCTTTGGCCCACAGCCCAGTTCGACCACCGGCCTTGTGTGGAAAGCATTGGTAAGCCAACAAATCGGCCAGTTGCAGCATGTCTTCTCGGATGGTGTCCACGGAAATGCTGATGTTATAGGCCAACCGTTCGGCAACCAAAGCGTTTTTTTGACGGTATTCTTTCGATGCACCCTCCTGACACGCCAAAGACAAATGCATAGACATGAAAACAAGCAAAGCTCAATGAAAAGATTTGTTGACATCCCTGACTTGCAATGGGCACAAAATCATGAGAACAACAATGACAAAAAATAACACCAGCAAAGACCTCAGACAACACCGGAAATTCGTGGGCAACATTCCAAAGCAACCAAGCTCCAAAGCGCAAACGGCCCTCCTGCAGCGGCACCACGTGCCCACTCCAAACCGCACACCCCGTTCTAACAGCGGCAAGCTCAAGCAGCACCGGCACCCTGCAAAGCGCACAGACCGCTCTAACAGCCGCCGCAGCACCCCGCCCAGCGGCAGCAACATGCCCGCTCCAAAGCGCACAGATCATTCTAACAAAGGCTCTCAAGCAGCACCCTGCAGCGGCACCCTGCAGCGGCACCCTGCAGCGGCACCCTGCAACAGTACCAACATGCCCGCTCCAAAGCGCGCAGACCTCTCCAAGAGCAGCACCCGCAAGCAGCACCTTCGAGCAGCACCCTGCAGCGGCACCAACAAAGCGCACAGACCACTCTCACAGCAGCACCTTCAATCAGCCTGCTGCAGCGGCACCCTGCAGCAGCACCAACATGCCCGCTCCAAAGCGCGCAGGCCACTCAGCAGCCAAAATGCCCGCTTCAAAGCGCACCGATGCGACGCATCATCTACTTGAAGTAAGAACCCCAATAGCTTCGCCATCTGGGGAACAACTTATTGTATAAATGTTGTATATGGCCGAAATGAAATTTAAAAATGCAGCACTAGTCTTGGGAAAAGTCAGAGAGTAGAGTCGAGTAGCGAGCAAGTAAAGAAGATCAAAGAGCGTGAGCATTTGCTTTCCCAATGCTTGGGGCTTTGGAAGGTCAAAATGAGCGCTTGCAAAAGCGGTGGGCCCGGAGCTATCTGCCGGGATGAATGTCCAAAAACTCCAATGGATACCCGTTGCTGTAGCATTCTAGACAGGCAACCTGGTTTTTAGCCCCCAGTTGGGGCTAAAATCTTTCAATAAAAATGGTGTATGAGGTACAAACTGCAACCAATGAAAACCTTTGCGGAACGTTTCTGGTATCCCAGAGTGGCACTCATAAAACTCAGGCTCCAGGCTTTCATCCTGTGCAAGAACTTCACTATTTCATTTTCATGAAACTCGGGCACCTGGTTTTCATCCTGTGCAAGCACTTCACTATTTCATTTTCATGAAACTCAGGCCCCAGGTTTTCATCCTGTGCAAAAGAATGTCGCATTTAATTTTCATGAATCTCAGTCTCATGTTTTCAGCCCGTGCATGCACTTCACCGCTTAATTGTCATGCGGGCATATGCCAAAGCTCCTTGAACAAGCCTGTGGCAGCCTCTGCTGCAAGATTGTTTATGGGGTGTTGGTTGAAGGTCTCCTAAATTTTATGTCAGGTGAGGGAGGGTCTCATATTTTTTTTGGGCGTGTAAATTTGATGTCAGTGTTGTCATTGCTTGTTGTTGCTGGGAACTTCAACCACGTCGTTGATGGTTGAAGTTGGCGGCTGATGCTGTGCCTTAAAAAAAATCTAGATTTACAAAGATGACGGTGAATGTGAGGGTCTGCTTATTTCGCCTTTCGCTCCCCTCATCATCCACTGCCACCTCTTTATGAACCCTTCACTACACAAATGCGAGAACGGAAAGAAAGTGGAGAACGGACAATAAGAATTGTTTAACCATAGAACCCACGAACCCGAAATGCTTTGTTTGAAATCCGCCACCATCAACTGAGAGATGTGCTTTTGAAACTTCCGCACCATAGAGCGTGTCGCTCCCTCACAGTTGATGGATTTTATAAATAAAAAACACTGTCCGTTGCTTCTTACTGTCCGTTTTCTCGACATTGATTGTAATGGAGACGTTGCTTGCACAGCTTCCGCGGGCGCGCAGTTCTCACAGTTCTTTGAATTTGTCAAGTCTGTCTCTGTTCTCACTGCAGTTCTAACTGCAGTTCCCTCATTTAAATGTGTCAAGTGAGTCAAGTCCAGATCGTCGGGATCGCATCTTCACCGAGGCAATTGCCACATCTGAGATCGCAAAACATGGAGGCTCCCTTTAATTTTTAATCTGTCCATGCAACGCAACAACCCAACACTTCCTACAAGTTTCCTATCTGTGAAAGTTCTGCCACCGCCGTGCGCGGTACGAGTGGCAACACATGTATGTACATTATTTGGCGCCGCTATCTGTCTATCGATAATATCGTCCTATATTTTCTGCCCATCTGACTATCAATATACTAATATACCTTTCCACTTGTCCGTTCATCCATCCATTCATCCATCCACATCGATTTAGATGGAGCAACACACCGCGACACGAAGCTTGGACCCTTTGGACAAGCGACTGGCACCTCAAGCAGACAGATCGGTCCCGGCGCCCGTCCTTGATAGATAGGACATCTTGCAAGATGACAGCTTTCGCACATCGTGGCAACTCTTTGGCAGTGTTGGGGTGGTTCCAGGTGTTGCTGATGTTATCTTTCAGCAGTTGCAAAGCATTGCTCGGCAAAGCTGTCTGGTCAGGACCAAAGTACGCAGCTAAAACGTCTGCACAGGTTTCACCTGGTGAGTCCGAAAGAGTCAGCCAGCCGATAGTTTTGGGCTCCACTCCTTCCAACTCCAAGGCTAGCTCTCCCTGTGGTGTCGCTTCGCGTCTGCAAGGGTTCCATGACGCTAGCATTTTTCGAAGACACTGCACTGCAAAAGCACCATCGCGAGATGCGAGGTGCAGCCCCTGAACGAGCCTAGCATAAATGTGCAGCCCATCTTGGCCAATCTCCACACCAAATGCCTGACAATGCTCTCTGTCTATCACGATCCCTCCGCTGGCCACGTGCTGCTTGGCGTCTTCCTGCAATGGTTGGTGTGGCGATACAAACCGGTAGAGCACCATGCCAGGCGGCAAAGCTGCTTCGAGGACAGAGGCAATCATTTTGAAGTCAGCCTCAATATTGTCTGTGTTGATGCCAATGGGTCTTAATCCCTTTCGCGCCAACAATCTCAACGAAGTGAGCAGCAACAATTCCTTACCCATACGGTTTTCTGTCTCTGCCCAAAGAGGAGGCAGACCAGGAATGTCTTGAAGCATGGTCACCACCCCCCAGGTTCGCCTGCCAGCAGCGCATGAACAGTCATTTCAGTCATGCAGACTCAAGTAAGCAAGCAACATGAAAATTGATGACGCATGGTGCTTTTACGTGTCGCTACTCCAAACATCATGGTACCCGTTGTGGACCTCTTCCGTTGAGATCCAGCGATGCTAGGGGAAGAAAGCTGCTTGGCATCCGACGAACTAAAATCAAAGTTGAGGATGGCCCCGAAAGCTGGGACCAAAGCAGAAACAAAATCATTCACAAATGGCCTCGGCTTGCGAGCTAGCTATTCCGCCAGCGTGAAAAACAGAATGTCTGAGAAGTGCAAACGAATCAGAAGAAAGCTGTTGGTGATACATGTTTTGCCCTGAAGCAGATCAGCAAGCGACCTTGAACAAATTTTCGGTTCACTTGGAAAACATCTGGTGAGACATGACATCCAGGTGTAACAGTAATGACAAAGCATTTTTTGTATTTTCTGGATGCAGTAGCAGCGTAAGATTCCTTTGCAAAGCGGCTGAGGCGCACACACGACACACATCCGCTTGTACAAACTGATCCATGAACGCATGGTTTGCCAGGAAGGACAAGCCAAACAATGCTGCAAGATCGCGATGTGCAGAAGCTGCTGCTGGGCTGGCTCCAAGCGAGCCACTGTTGGGTGCCGTACCAAAGCAATGCTAATGTGCGCTTCCGTGATGTCCCGAAGGTGACGGGCCACCGCATCATAGCTTTCGCTTTCCATAAAGATGCGGATGGCTTGAGGCCACCAGGTACTGCTTATAATGAACTTGCCAACAACGTCCCCAACCACTGAAGCTCCTCGGGTGTGGCCTTTCCCGTCGAGTGGCAAAGACCAGTGAACCCCATGCTCCAAACAGCTATAACGCTGAGCATGGCAACGCCGCAGGCCAGCTGCGGAGACAAACATGCACCCATCCCGCCACCTGGGCAAAAATCGGATGAATGATGATTCTGATATCTGTGCCTGTGTGTCTGTGTGCGTGTGTGCGTGCAGCAGCTCTTATAATAGTTGAGAAGGCTCATGCTCTCTTCACGATTGAAGAATGCAGCCAAGAGACCCACGGCGCTGGATACGGCAACCCGGGAGATTCTTGGGGCAAGCCAGCATCATGCTGGCATCATCATGGAGTTGAACACACGCAACGTCCTGAAAGACATCTGCCCAAAGGCCACTGCCCTGCTCGCAGTGGTTCATCTCACTTAGCTGCTGCAAGGCTTCTGCCACGAAGGCCTGGATAGCGTTCTTTCCTTCAGTGCTATTGCGATTCGGCGGTGACAACTCGCTCACGCCATAGCATCTCTGGTGTGCACGGAAAACGCCTCCATCAGGCGCAGGTTGAGCCCGAGGCCGGGGTTGCAAAAGAGGTCCAAAAGAATGCGCCTCTGGTCTTTCCAATTGTGTCGGCTCCAGTGGCCATTGCAGACGCCAGCATGAACCTTCATGTTTCGAGCATTGCCGTTTCACAAACTTGACGATGGAACAAGGGTTGATGGCGAAGACGCACCCATACTCCTTCTGGCTCTTCAGCAGGCAAAAATCACCGACTGCTGGGGCATCCACTGCAGAAGTGGCCGCCCCGATAGGAACAGTTGTTGAACATGGACAAACAGGAAAAAGTGTGCAAACCCTCTGCCGCTTGGTTGGCAGCAAATTGCCTGGCTAAGGGGGAATATTCCGGAAAGGACTCAGCAAGAGTAGGTCGAGGAGCAGACTGCTGTGTGTCAACAGCAGCTGCAAAGACCCGCCGGCGCTTTCGTGCTGGCTGTTCAGCAGGATGGCGGGCAGCTTGCAAACACCGTTTCGCTGTGCGTGCCCGGCGATTTCGGGAGACATTGGCGCATTTGTGTCGCAGAAAACGCGCAAACCAATTGGTGTGCACTGTCGGCTCTGCTTCAGCACCGCAGGCGCAGCGAAACCTTAGCTGTTATCTTGCGCCGTCCATGCTGAGTTTCTGATTTTGCCACTTCGGCAAAAAAAACAAACCCAGTGATGCAGAAGCCCAATCCTGTATGCAAATACTGCCTACATGCTCTTGCAATCAGACTGTCACACAGAAATTTCGCAAAGGTGGAATGTGTAAGGCAAAGTATGAGAATATTATGAGGTCTTGGCCTTCCAGTCCCTGGTTGCTCTCATGCAAGCAAATCCCGTGCAGTATGTGTAGGGTGCGAAATGGCACTGTGGAAAAGTTGCAGCATCATACTTGAGATGGTCACAGCCGGGTATGTTGATCTTTGAATACCAGTAGTACCGCACAAGGCGGTGGCGGAAGTTTCAAAAATAGGAAACCTATAGGAGAGGTTGGTTGTTGCGAATCAGGGATGGCAGAGCGAAGCCACTGATGGACCAAAAGGTGCTTGAGGTCTCCTCTCTTTCTCTCTCTCTCTCTCTTTCTCTGACTATCTACCTACCTACCTACCTACCTATCTATCTATCTATCTATGTATCTATTTATCTATCTATCTCTCTCTCTCTCTTCCATCTAACTACCTATCTATCTATCTATCTGTCTGTCTGTCTATCTATCTCTCTCTCTTTCATCTGTCTATCTGTCTAGCTGTCTACCTGCCTATCTGTCTATCTATCTATCTATTTGTCTATCTGTCTACCTGTCTATCTGTGGTGCAGTGTCATTCAGTGTAATGTAGTGTAGTGTAATGTAGTGTAGTGTAGGTGGAGTGTAGTGGAATGTAGTTTAGTGTAATGTAGTGTAGTGTAATTTAGCGTAGTGGAGTGTAGTGGAGTGTAGTGGAGTGTAGTGGAGTGTAGTTGTGTAGTTGTAGTTGTAGTTGTAGTTGTAGTTGTAGTGGAGTGTAGTTGAGTAGTTGTGTAGTTGTAGTTGTAGTGTTGTGGGGTGTAGTGTAGTGTAGTGTAATGTAGTGTAGTGTAGTGGAGTGTAGTGTAGTGTAATGTAGTGTAGTGTAGTGGAGTGTAGTGTAGTGTAATGTAGTGTAGTGTAGTGTAATTTAGTGTAGTGTGAGTGTAGTTGTGTAGTTGTAGTTGTAGTTGTGTAGTTGTAGTTGTAGTTGTAGTTGTTGTAGTGGAGTGTAGTTGTAGTAGTTGTGTAGTTGTAGTTGTAGTGTTGTGGAGTGTAGTGTAGTGTAGTGTAATGTAGTGTAGTGGAGTGTAGTGTAATGTAGTGTAGTGGAGTGTAGTGTAGCGTAATGTAGTGTAGTGTAGTGTAGTGTAATTTAGTGTAGTGGAGTGGAGTGTAGTGGAGTGTAGTTGAGTGTAGTTGTGTAGTTGTAGTTGTAGTTGTAGTTGTAGTGTAGTGGAGTGTGGTTGAGTAGTTGTGTAGTTGTAGTTGTAGTGTTGTGGAGTGTAGTGTAGTGTAGTGTAATGTACTGTAGTGTAGTGTAGTGTAATGTAGTGTAGTGTAACATTTTGACTTCCAAATGTGCTTCGCGCCACAACGGCATGCACTTTTTCGACATCGCAACTTCCAAAAGTCGTCCGACACGGAGGTGTTTTGTACATTTTGACTTGGAAATGTGCTTCGCGCCACAACGGCGTGCACTGTTTCAACATCTCAACTTCCAAAAGTGGTCCGAGAATAGTGTGTTTTGTACATTTTAACTTCGAAATGTGCTTCGCGCCACAACGGCGTGCACTTTTTCAACATCTCAACTTCCAAAAGTGGTCCGACGCTGAGGTGTTTTGTACCTTTTCACTTCGAAATCGGCTTCGCGCCACAACGGCGTGCAACTTTTCAACATCTCAACTTCCAAAACTGCTCGGAACCCCTCAGTTTTTAATACATTTTACTTCCAAATGTGCTTCGCACCACAACGCCGTGCACTTTTTCAACATCTCAACTTCCAAAAGCGGTCCGACGCTGAGGTGTTTTGTACCTTTTCACTTCGAAATCGGCTTCGCGCTACAACGGCGTGCAACTTTTCATCTCTCATCTCCCCACATGTCTCCGCACCCGCCGCTTCAGCGAGCCTACTTTTCAACTCTCCGGAGCCACAAAACCACGAAAAAAACACAGTGTTTCGCGACTTTCCTACCTTTTCGCGCACCTGCATCTTCTTTCTTCTGATCTTTTCTCTTCCGACTCGTCTCCCTGCTGACTGCTTTTTCATCTCTCCATATTGTCGGAAGTTTGACGTCTAAACTTCCTTCGATGAAAAGCATAACAAAAGCGGATGCTTGCAAGAACCCATTCGCTGTCCGGTCGACACGGCGGCGAAGATTTCGCAGCAAGTCTGCCTGGGTAGCAGGTAGCAGCAAACCAATCGCAATGGACGTAAGAGGTATACCGCATGGCAAGTCACCATGTCAGTTTCATGAGTCCGAATAGAGTGTGGAAAAGTGGTCGCATTGTCCTTAATGCACAATCTCCGTAATTAGTGTGATCTTTTATCTATGTAGTGCGCAACACCCTCAGAGAGGCGCCTGGGTCAAAAATTTGTTGTGGCACTTCTCGTGCTGCTGGAGCTGCTTGCGTGTTGCACAGCTGAAGCGCCAAGCAGGATCGCGGCCAAAGCATTCCCGCACAGGAAGTTCGTGGCATTGCAGCCCCCCATCGACAGCACAAGTGAACATGGTTGATGCAGATGATTGTGGAAAGACAAAAACTCTTAAGACACTATTGTCCTGGTATATCATACAATGTCTTGCATATAGGTATGTGGAGGCCGTTATCTTCGAACTGCCCCTGCTTGACGGGGCATTGAGTTCATGTTCGGAAGCCGCTTGTCAGGTTGGCTAGCAGTTCTGCAGCCGTCTTTGGCCGAAGCATCAAAACATCACAGAATCAACGCATGAACTTATGGCGAAATTTCATGGTTCCAGTTTCCTAGCTAATAGCTAACGAAAATGCAGGTCTGGACATGCTTCTGGCATCGAAAATACACTGAAAGGAATGCACCACCACCACATGCAAGTGCAAGTAACCACTGAAAGGGAATAATCAAAATATGATCACCAGAGCAACAATCTTAAAGTACTCTGACCGTGAACCGCACAAGCATAAGAATAAAACATAAGCACCCACGAACAATAGGAAATCATTGAAGTAGAATTCAACTTGAGCTTATCCGGCGGTTTGGGTTGGCGGTTTGGAAGTCTGGGAATTCATGATTTTATGAACTTACAAATTTAAACTGTATCAAAACCTTGAAAAATAGATTACTTATGCCAGTCACTCATTCATTCAGTAATTCATGCATTCACTCTTTCATTGATACATTCATTTCATTCCATGACATTCATGTCATTCATGCCATTCATGCCATTCATTCCATTCATGCCATTCATTCATTCATTCATTCATTCATCCATCCATCCATCCATCCATCCATCCATCCATTCATTCATTCATTCATTCATTCATTCATTCATTCATTCATTCATTCATTCATTCATTCATGTTCATTCATTCATTCATTCATTCATTCATTCATTCATTCATTCATTCATTCATGTTCATTCATTCATGTTCATTCATTCATTCATTCATTCATTCATTCATTCATTCATTCATTCATGTTCATTCATTCATTCATTCATTCATGTTCATTCATTCATTCACGTTCATTCATTCATTCATTCATTCATTCATTCATTCATTCATTCATTCATTCATTCATTCATTCATGTTCATTCATTCATTCATGTTCATTCATTCATTCATGTTCATTCATTCATTCATGTTCATTCATTCATTCATGTTCATTCATTCATTCATGTTCATTCATTCATTCATTCATTCATTCATTCATTCATTCATTCATGTTCATTCATTCATTCACGTTCATTCATTCATTCATTCATTCATTCATTCATTCATTCATTCATTCATGTTCATTCATTCATTCTTTCTTTCTTTCTTTCATTTCATTTCATTTCAGTTCATTTCATTTCATTTCATTGCATTTCATTTATTTATTTATTTCATTCATTCATTCATTTCATTCATTCATTCATTCAAGTCATTCCATTCATTCATTCATTCATTCATTCAGTCAGTCATTCATTCATTCATTCATTCATTAATTCATCCATCCATCCATCCATCCAATCAATCAATCAATCAATCACTCAATCAATCAATCAATCAATCAAATCAATCAACCAAATCAATCAACCAACCAATCAATCAATTCAATTAACCACTCAATCTATCCTATCTATCCTATCCTATCCGATCCTATCTATCTATCTTTCTTTCTTTCTTTCTATCTATATATCTATCTATCTATCTGTCTGTCTGTCTATCTATCAATCATACCCCATCCCATCCCATCCATCTAATAAATCTATCTATCTCATCTATCTCATCCAGAATCTTATATTATTGAAAGACAAATCATAAAATTTAAAAGTAAATGAATTAGTCAGTAAGAAAAAATAGAATTATTTAATAACTTAACTATGAAATAAACTATTGATTAGTTAGTTTATTTTTTTCATTAAAATTATACACTTTTATTTTAAAATAAAATACTTTGAAAACACTGATTTCCCAGACTTCCAAACCACCAACCCAAACCACCACGTAAGTGTAACCTGAAGAATTGTCTTGCCCCTCTGCAGCAAAAGGAAAAAATAAGTGGTAAGGGTGCACAACACAAGGACTACGAAACCAAATTCGTCCTAGATAGGAAATAAAGGAAAGCCAGACGTCCAGATGATTGTTCGAAAGTGCGAAAAAATAAAAAGCGGCCGCGTGCGTAGAAAATGGAAAACTGCTGAAAAACTTGTACATCTGACTTTTTCAAAAAAATGAAAAGCGGCCCTGTGCGCCGCATGCGCGAAAGGTCGAAAAACAGGAAAAACACGAAAAGTAGAAAAGTAGAAAAGCGGAAAACTTCCAAATCTGTTTTTTCTCGAAAAGTCGAAAAATCGAAAAGTGGCTCCGTGCGCGAAAAGTCGAAAAACGCGAAAAACACGAAAAGTAGAAAAGTCGAAAAGGATCGCTTTTCTACTTTTCTACTTTTTGTATTTTTTGCACTTTTCTTGTTTTTCTACTTTTCTATTTTTTTACTTTTCTCACTTTTCTTATTTTTCTATTTTTCTTGCGAAAAACGAAGGCAAAAAATGTGAAGATTGCAAAAACCATTGTTTTTCTACTTTTTGACTTTTTGACTTTTCTCGTTTTTCTCGTTTTTCTTTTTTTCTTACTTTTCTCAACCAAAAACGTGCACGGACAAGAAGATACCAAACGTCACGTCTAACTGACTTAGCCAGGTGACTACCCGACCATCGGCCAAGATCGCAGCAAATGCAAAGTGAGTGCTCTCAAGTTTGCAAACATCTCTGAGCAAATGTTGAACTCGTTGGCTCTCTCCACCAATAGCCTCACTTTTTGGACGGTGAGGCCAGAGTGAAAAAAGGGTCGACCAAAACCGAACCTGCAATTTCACAGATCAACAGTATTCCAACAAGCTCCATACTCGCTGATCACCGAGAACACCACCACCACAGACCAAAAAACAAATGAAAACAACAACAAATATAATTACAGTATATTATCCATAGGATCCATGTATGGTATATATGCTAACATTTGGGGTATATTGATGGTAAATGTTACCATATATAGCATACATGGATCCTATGGGTTAGAGTAAAATAAACGACTTCGAAAGCATGCGCCAGCGTCTGAACGCCCCCATGTTACGACTGTGCCATCCTGCAGAATGGCCGCAAAGCTGAAGTGGCTTCCTTTGATTTGCCGCACATTCGATCCCAAGCGATCGCGAACCCTTGAGCTGTCACCGCCAAATCGAGGGTGACCCCAAGTTTCAACCTGGTGTGACGCTCAGATCTTGGGTTCAGATCTCTACTATGCAAACTACATCCAGGTTGAAACAGCATCAAACAGTTTGCAAAGCTCTTCATTTTCTGGACAGGAAAAGACAACAAATGTGGAATGTCAACCACAATTTGTATATATATCCACATATATCCACCATCATCCATTCTCCCACCATTCTCCGCCCTGGAAAACTCCTATTCGGGTCATACAACTTTTCAGCCCATGCAACGGATCCATCCGCCAACAGAGCGGCGAAGGCGTGCCCAGTGGACTCAATCTGCTCCACCCGTCCAGCAGCCGCGACGCTGGGGCCGGCATCACCACCGAATTTGGGATCGCCCCAACAAAGAGCGTGACCGTTGCTGAACCTGGCACGTCATGGCACACGGACCATGAAAACAGGATGAAAACCTCATGAAATGAGAGAAAACTGGCGATGAAACCGATGAAACCAACAGAATCTGGCCACAATTGTGAGCCATCTTGCCAGGCGCAGGAACCTCATGGCAAAGGCCTTTCGTGTTGCGCAAATCTTCGGGGCATGCACGATGGCCGTCAAAGTCTCACCATCTGTGAGCCCGGTATCAAGAAGAGTAGAACAAACATCCAAGATCTGCCCTTGGGACGACAAGAGTCCTGGGAAGAGGATGGAAGAGCGCCAAAACATGCCATGTTGATGCAACATGATGCAACTCTGACTCTGGGATCTGAGTGATCTTAGATGACATGGGGCCTTTAAGCTGAACAAACCTGACATTGAGTTCATTTAGAACTACTATTGGTTAATTGCAGGGATTTTACTCGCTCCAATTACATCCAATTACTGAATCCAAGGGCAACGAAACCTCGCACCAACAGCAACAAACAGCCATGGAGTGCTTGTCTAAACTTTCTAAACCTTGCTGCACTCAGGAAGCAATGAGTGTACATCAGAGCAGTGGTGAGAGACAACAAAATAACAAAATAAGCCCCGTGGAAACTGTAAACAATTTCGATTCATCTTTTTTGCGCGTGGAAATCAAAGACCTGCATGCGTCAGACGTCATCTCTGCGTTTTGCAGGTAATGGACTCAGTGCCCCGCAAAAACTAATCCTATACTTCCTCTGTCAACATCTTGTCCCTACCCTTGTGGCCCGAAGTCAAAATGTGTAAGCCGGGGTTGTTGTTCTATGTTCTGACACAACTGTGTCTTCTGAGAAACAAATGGCTAGGAAAAGATGAAATACCTGGATTTGCTGCTGCCAGCTGACATTTGCATTATTTGGTTAAGTTCCTCTTCTTTTCTTAGTGCTCAAATACATTCCAATACCCATCCGCGTTCAATCTGCTGTTGGTTCTTATGTTTCCTCCACGATCTGCCCGTCTCTGTTGCCACTCAGCGGTGCCAAGTCGAGGCTCTTAGGAAGCCAACCCCGAAGATCTCTTGAGCCGCATCGCGCAGCTTCAGAACTGTGGCAGTGGGTGCAGTTGGAATCGTTGCGCTTCGACCACCTCAGCTATCAAAATCTGTCAGCAAGGTCATGGGAAGCTCACCCGATGGTGATTCCACCATCACAGGGACTTGAAAACGAGAACAAGGGTGACTTCCAGTACTACCCAAGAATGTTAGGGTTTCAAAACTATGGATTGATTTCACTGGTTCAGATTGGGATTCCCAGATATGAGTTGAATGACCCCTGGTGAGCCAGGTGAGGCCCTGAACATGTGATACCAATGGAGAGTGAGAGTAAATAATGAAGCTGTTTTGGAAACAGGCATTACAGAATAAACACATAAATTCAGAAAATGACACAGGGTTTGTCTCATGAAGATGGAGTGCATGAAGGAATATATCGTTATACATTGCGCTATGATCACTATACTTATACCATACACAGCACAGCAACAGAACGCGGTGCAACATGTGCAACTTGACATGATCCTCACACCAAGGCTCTTGGCAAGGAGACAAACACTTCCATGGCAAGTCAACATCAAAAGGCTGACATATGGTGCCAAATTTTTGTTCTGTCGCAGCTAGCCTCACTAGTCGATCTTCAAAGGCCGAAGGGCCCGAAGCGTGCAGAAATCGTTGGGCTGTTGTTGGTAAACGCACGAAATTCCAATGCTTAGCAATACGGTCAATACTTTGCACAGGCCCTAGGCTTTCCACGGTGAATAATACTGTAGGCGATGCAAGCGAGAATGACGTTCTGCAGACCTTGTCTATTGTATACGTATATACATTGAGTGTGCCCACAAATGAATGTGTTGAGAGTATCTGCCTGTCGCGCAATGAGCCAAACATCTTCCAGTACCCATTGTATCCGAAAGATGGTTTCCCATCAGTAAAACTCTAAAAACATATCAATCATTTTTAATCCATCTTAATCCATACTATACAATTTCTATTATTAAGATATATACCCAAGTTATCCATATATCCCCAAGATCCCCAAGTTTGTTTGCTGCTCGTCCCTCAAGTTCTCCAGATCCGCCAGTGAACGGCTCCGCCTCACAACAGCGCGTGAAGGTCTGGACGTAAGCGTTTCGAACTTCCTGGAGCGCACGGGGATTGCCCTTGGATGGCCAGGTGTTACTACAAAAAAGCATGGCCTTCATAGGATAGAAAAAAAAGGGCCGAATCTGAGGCTAATATAGGGCTATATAGCTATAGGGGGAATATATGGGAATATAGCATCTTATAGCTAGTATAGCTTAGTTGTGTTTCATGAAAGTGTGACATTGCACGGGTCGAAAGGTTTTTGGTGAAAGATGGTGAAAGGTTGGACTATCTGCAACCGTGGTTTTAAGAACTTTCTTAGAGGCAGTCCTCTCTGGAAAGGACACCACTTTGAGATACCTCAGTGGCGTTGGAGCTTTTGGAATGGCAATGGAACTGAAATTGAGCTTGAATTGTGGCCAAGCTGCATTGATCTCATGAAACTCCGGCATCTTGTCCTTGGCTTGCACGAAACCCAAAAAGTCCGTGTATAACACATGAGTCAATTGGAGCCATAATAATATAACACCGTGAGGAACATGCGAAAAGCGATCCATGCAACCCCCCATGGAACCTTGATACCCCACACCAACTCTTTTCTGGTTGATAACCCATTCAATCCATCCCAAAAAATATAATATATATATAATTATATATAGCACTTAGAATATATGGGTGTGTTTACAAATTACAAATAGGGTTCCCCAAGTCCACAAGTTTGGGCCATTTGGGGAACATGATGATCGACTAGTGGATTTGGGCTACACCCTATATTTGACCATCTTAGTAATGATTTTTGGTGATCTTCTCTCTCGCCAGCTTAGCCAAAGGACCCACATCCGCCGCGAAAACTGCTTCTTCAACAGCTCTTTGGCTGGCTTTCCGGAATCCTCCTATGTGCAGGCTGGAACTCATAGGAAACAAGCGCCAAACATGGTGGATTTCGATCGCACACTCCACATTCGCGGATTTCTATCTGCCTTGATAAATTGGATTGAAATGGTGAGGAAAGGATGGGAAAGGCCTTCCTCACTCTTTCACGGGATGGTAGGGCACCCCTACAATCATTCATTTCTTTGAATCCAGGCAAGTATTTTGGAATGCCCATTGCCCGTATCGAAACTTCTCTGTCCGGGAACACAAACTGACTTTTAAGGTAGCGATGAAGTGCAGCGAATCTTCCCATTGCACCTGCGGCATAATGTGCCTCTTCCGCCACTCCTGCTGGATGCAGAGGAAGTCATCATCCATGGCCGCAACCAATATGGATATGTGACATGGTCAAGGAACAAGGGATGAATGGGCTGTGGTCATTCCACAATTAAGTTGGGAATTCTATGGAACTCGTTTAATGGGTAATTATATATACCTTATATGACAAGTATATATTATATTTTATATACATTAACATACATGAACTCCTGTTGATGTGTGGATGACCATTCCCCAATATGGCTTAATCTACTCGACCTTTTGACCATGGCACATGTGCATATGGTCCAGGATTGGCATATCCTGTGAAAGATGAACTTTTTGGTGGTTTAAAGCTCGCTTAAAACATATGGTCGGTCACTTGAGGATCATCATTAGTAGGAATGAACAGTTAAGAACGACTGAAACATCTTCAAACTGTTGGTTTCAGCACAACACGTACTGTCACAATACCTCAGCCATTTTTCAAACGCCTCGAAGACTGGGTTGCCGTTCATCCCGGCCAAACTCGCGTGCATGACGCCAACTCCTTGGGCAAACGTCATCCGCATAGCCACAAAGCCCAGAGGAAACTGACTGGCAGTGGTGAATCATTTTCTGTACCCTCTGTTAATCAAACATGGCAATGGCGGCAATGGAAATCATCCATTCATACATGATTTTCCGTTAAAACCTCCGTTTCATTCAGGGATTTCTCCACTAGCCTGATTGCCGCATCATATTTTGTTGCGGGTCGTAGGCCAAAACTTCGCTTTTTGACCAGTTTTGATCATCTGATCTTCTGTGGATACAGGGAGGGACTGTTTGTTTCAGGGGCTGAGAGGTTGAACCGTGCCCTTGACCTCCATTGCAGTTGCTCTAGGGCCTGGGGATATGAAACCTGGTTTGGGTGAAGAAAGGCCACTTCAGCAGCAGCTGAAGGACTTTTGTAGTGCCGGACACACAAGCAGTGCCCAAAAACTAGGCTACCACAGAAGATAGGGTCCACACATTTGGCAAGTGCTGTACTTAGTGGTCAGTTTGGGTCGCAACAATGTTGAATGATTACAGGGGCCATCTTTGCTTCTTGGAAATGGCATTGGGACCAGCATGACCAGTAAGGTGACTAGTACCTTTACTGAGTCATGCTGAGTTATATATAATTATATATATATATACATATTGTATAAACTGTCCTCATGTTCATCATCATCATCATCATTATCATCATCATCACCACCACCACCATCACCATCACCATCACCATCACCACGATCATCTAAACCACCAGCGAGACAAGTCTCTGTAAATCCGAGAATAATCCAGTGGCTCATTACCCACACGCTTCACCTACCAGCAGCAGAAATGCTGGAAATGCGACAGAAAGTGCAGAATGCAACAGAATTGCAGCACCAGGCAGCCAAAGTGTTTTTCATGATGTTTATCCACCTTCATTCTTTCCTGGTTCTGAACTGGTCCCTTTTGCTTTATTGAAGCCCCTATCAATGATGCTTAAATCCGCACTAGATACCAAAATAGGGGCTTTTCCCATTGGTACCCTCTGGTAATTTAACATAGCTATTGAAAATGGTGATTTACAGTGGATTTTCCCATTGAAAATGGTGATTTTCCATAGCTACGTTAAATCACCAGAGGGTAAACAATCAACCAGGGTTTTTGAGCTGCTCAGGTGTCCACCGAATGTGCAAACAGCCGCAGCCTCTTGAGTTGCTGGGTCCACATGGACACCACCATCTGCCTACTTGGCTTGGCGCACGGCACACCAAACAGAACAATAAACATTAATGGGATATAATGGGGATATAAACATTAATGGGATATAATGGGGATATAATGGGGATACATGAATAATCCTGATATTTTCGGGAATTGGGATATAATGGGGATACATGAATAAACATTAATAAACCATACTGTGTATTATACTACATATATGGGGATGTATCATCAGCCATACCTGAATGGGAATATACCCAACATCAGATATTTGGATGTTTTCAAGAATTGCAGGGATACCCCAAGTTATAGCCACTTGAATGGATGGATGATGATAAGCCATCAATTTTAGGGCTACTCTCTATATATATATATATAATTACTTTCAGACAAAGTCATGCACTCATGTACTACTCCATGTACTGATTTTCGGTAAATCCGAAACCATCAACCATCCGCAGGCACCAAGATTCATGGAAATTGAATGCCCTCCAAAAGAATCTTTGTGAAATGGCAGTGTGTCAAAACCTTGTACCCCTGGTGAACATCAAAATAGCTGGTAAATGGATGTTCATCCCCCTAAAAATGGTATCAATAGGTATTGATCCATACCCAAATGTCTGCCAGTCTGCCAATATTCCAAAGTTGTCCAAAGTCTGAAGCTTCAATATGGCTTTCTCTGAACAACTTTTCAGGAAATAGGGGATACACCCAACTGGCCATTTTCACGGGGAACCTGATGATACTCCGTTGGAATTGGGGGATACCCTATTTTCAGATCACCTTCCGTTAATCAAACCGTCATGGAATTTTCCCCCCATGTATACACGATCTTTCCAATTAAGACATATTAAGACCTCCATTTATCATTTACCGACGATTTCCTAGCTTGCTACGTTTGTTTACGGGAGGGTAACTATAACCCATATCTTCAAAACAAATCTGGTTGGTGGTATACCTACCCCTATGAAAAATATGAGTTCGTCAGTTGGGATGGTGACATTCCCAATAATATCCAATAATTATATGGAAAGTCATACAATTCCATGGTTCCATTATTGATTATGATATCCCATGATATCCCATTAAATTCACCATGATATCCCATTAAAAAGCCATGGTTCCAACCCACCAACCAATGCTCCCCCCAGTGCCTGGAGGAAACCACCGGATCCCAACTTCACGGTGCGTGAGTAGTGCAAGGCCTCCCTGAGTTCCTGTCCTCGAAGCACCTCGCTGAAGTCAAGTGCGGTTTTTGAATGGCTGAAGAATGGGTACCCGCAGGCTTTGAGATGTCGATAGTTTTTTGAAAGTGCTAATCAACCGCCAGACTTGTGGGGACCTGGACTTTTTGATTTTTTTTTTGATATCATCCCACACCCGAATCTCGACTTCAATTCTCCTGTCAGTCACCATGCAAATTGGTATTTGCTTATGCTGAACTTGATGAGGTTCGATCAGGTTTAGGCCAATTTCGTCAAACATGTCCCAATCACTGGGCCCAAGCGGCGGCTGACTCATGGTTATGCATGGTTTGGTTTTCTGCATGTGTCTTCTCTCTCACGTTCCATCTTATACACTACCCTCTGGTAATTTAACATAACTATGGAAAATCACCATTTATAGTGAGTTTTCCCATGAAAAATTGTGATTTTCCATAGTTATGTTAGATTACCAGAGGGTACATTAAACCAGCTTTAACCAAGGTTGACCCATCAATTCACCAACCTTTTCTCCGCCAAAAAACAATGATGACCATCTCCGAAGACCAGGGCAGTTCCTGCGGCCATCTGCGGCAATGGCTGGGGATGAGGAAAAACCATCCCTTCAAGTTTAGTACATTAAATTCATATATGTCATATACCAAAATATGCGACATATATCCAAATAATATGTACTGTATATGTCTGTATATCAAAACATCTTCCATATATGCTCCAAATCTCAGTATGGATCAATGTTTCATTCATGATTGATCTGTTTCGTACTTCGCCATGTTTTCTGAACATGCTCTGATATATCGATATACTGTAAATGACAGAGGGGGTGGAAAAATCAAACAACCTGAAACTGTTCACTCCGTGACACAGTGACTCTGAATTCTGCATCCTGTTCCAAATCCGCAAGCGTAAAGGTCCAACGAGACCCCAAATAGTGCTCCGGGTTCGGCTCGTAGTCCTTATCACCTTTCAACATCGTCTCACTATCGGTGACTTCTTGTCAATGCGTGTACCAGGGACTCAACCGAACATCACTTGAGACGTTCTATTAACTGCCCTCCCAGAAATGCAGAAGACGGCATCCAAGCCTTTTAAGACTCCCTGATATTCTATCTTATGTGTATATATAAGATGATCCGATATAAATATAAATATATCATTATATACATCATTTGCACAGGTTGAACACACTGCAATTGGTCGATCCCAAGCCAGATCCGCGCCTCGGATGTTGCCACCATCGAAGAGCACACAGTCCACTTCCAACTCATCGCGCAGGGCGCTGCAGAGAAAGGACCCCAAGGTGGTCCTGAGAGTCGTCGCGAGTCGTCGCGACGAGGATTCATTGCGACTGGGAGATGCAGCAGTCATTGCAGGGAGATGGATCATATACAATTATATATATAATACATTATAATAATACATCATAATTACTAGTATTAGATATTACTAGTATAATAAACATCAACAAATGGAATAAGATGGAATAATAATAAAAAAGAATGATGATGAATTCCGGGAAAACAAGCAAGATCATGGGAAAGGAGGTTGCTAAGCCACAAATACTACAAGCAAACAAAATAATGAATGATGGAGATAAATGGACTGTCAGAATCATGGTGAAAACACATGGGATAAGACCAGGAATTGGGGATTTGTCAGTGTTATCAAGCAATACTGAGATTCACATCCAGGTTATCAGGCAAACAGTCCAGAATATTGTCTAGTATGGCCTATGGGTGGAATCCCAGGCTGAACCAACAGGTTGTGCCAAAAAAAACTGATCCACAATACGGTCTTGGTGTTGGGAAATTTTGGACAGATCCTATCCTCCAATTCTTGGAACATTAACCAATCACCAATCCACCATTGACATCCTGCACCATGCCATTTTGCCCAAGGGACTGCTTCTTGCGGATATCCTTGGAAGACCTGGGCGATCCCAAGAATAGTGGTTCTTGGTGGTTAACAAGCCCTCTTTCTTGGGGGTTTATCTTTGGGTCCGCTGAATCCCCAAGACAGTTTCGTCTTTAAGGGGTCACTCTTGAAGGAATTTTGACGCAACCACCACGTGACGTGAATGGGTTTGTTTGTCTTCCCTGC